GCGGTCCGGCCGTTGGCGCCCGCCGGTGAACGCGGTCATCGCGGCGACCGTTGGTTCGCCCCCTGTCCGCCAGGGGCGCGCGTGGCGTGGCCGGCGCCGGCTCGCGGCACGCTAGTCGTGCGGCGGCCGGGCGGCGCGAAGCGGAGGGGACCGAGTGCGGTGGTGACGGAAGGTCAGCAGTGACCCCTGTGCGCCGCGAGCGCGTCGGTGCAGCGCTGGTAGTGTGGCAAGGGACCCGTTTTCGTGCGGTTGTGGTGGGTTTGTCGCAAAGGGCTCAGCTGGAACTTCGTCCGTCAGTGGGGTTCAAGCTTTGTAGCTGGCATTGTCCGGGAATTGGAAACAGAAACAGTCAGGAATTTGCAACAGAAACTGCAATAACTTAAATGGTTTACTTTGTCGTTCTTCGCCAAAACGCTGGGCAATTGCAAAGTGGTCTTGTGTAAAACGTCGTGATGCTACAAAATCCATTTGTTCTCAAAATTTGTGTGCCGGTTATTTATGTAATAGATGTAATTCAAGTCACTTTTGATCTGTGTAGCAAAATCGTGCTGGCAACATCTTGTGACAACAGCTCAAAGTGGCGTCTGTTAGTCGAAGTTTTGGTAGCGCCCGCTCAGCTGACCATACCGGGCCCTTACTGGGTCCTTACTGGGCCCATACCGGACCCATGCCGGGCCCACGCCGGACCCATGTCGGGCCCGACCGGGAAGTGCGCTGATGAGCTCTCCCCCCGCCGGAAGCGGCTTAGCCGCGCTAACAGCCTTTTGACCCTCGCCAGTGAGTGAATGGCGCCGCCAGATTAGCAAAAACATGGACGGCACCGGCGCGCTCTCCCCCCGCCGGGTGCCGGAAAAAGCGCGCGTCCGGTCCCGTTCTGCCGGAACGTGCCGGAGTGTCCGCTAAGTCTCTGTCCATTTGTGAGTGGTATTGGAGTGTCATTGGTAGACGCTCTGCCATAGCTTGAGTTTAGTCCATTGCTGCGGTTATAGCTCAAAATTCCATGCTCTTCTGGCTCGGGTTTGAAGTATTAGATCGAGAGTGGCGTCATTTATGTGTTAGACGTCACGTCATATCATCATAGACATGATGTCACGTCATCCTCCTGATGTCGCTGAACCCCTCATGTTGCTGCAGGCTGTCTCTCCGATGTCGCGCCGGTCCCGCTCTGTTGGACTGTCGTGGAGAAGGCATGCGTGTCCGTATCCCGGTATCCTTATCCTATGGACGTCGACGGAACTTGCCGTGATCTCGCTCCTGCTCGCTCCGTTCTCGTTCTGGTGTCGCTCCGATGCCATTACGACCTCGGTCTGAAATCGCTCCGGCGAGGCCGTCCTGGTGATGTGTGACGATGTCGGGACAGGTTTTTGCTGGCCCACTGCCACGTGTCGCCCGCGCAGGTGTTGCACAGCGGGCCCCCGAACGGCTGCGTCGTGCGCCCCGGCGGGCGGCGGTGACGTACGCGGTGGGCCCGAGCACGTGCCGCCGATACCCTCACACGGTATCGGCAACCTTGAAGCAGCTCCGGGGAACGCACAGGTCGTGAGAATTCCCACCGTCGATGACGCAACGCGGGCACTCACGGATTGTGCTGTGTTGGTATCGCGCGCTCTCTGGTGCGCGAAAACCGTGTTTCCTTTCTCTGTATTGGCAGAGGAGCCTCTCCGTTTATTACAGCAGCGCTATCGCACAAGACGGTACATTTAAAAGGAAAGCGCTTTGCCGTTCGCCAGTCCCGAAATGATAGGCCGCAAACTGCGGGGGAAGTTCTGCCCTTCCTGCCGGCTGGTGGCCCCCTGACACCCGGGTCGTTCTATCCCTCCACTTCCCAGTGCTGAGAGGGGCGCGGCGAACCGCTGACCCTCTCCCGCCGTGCAGCTCCGACAAGAGTCGCTTCTGGGTCCGGCGGAGCGTCCGAAGCCAGTGACGCTTGTCCCACTATGACACGGTCGAGCGGTCGGCTTTCACGGAATGCCGCTTCCGCGGCGAACGACCCTCCATTCCGCACAGTCGCCTCCACTCGTGCCGTCTTTTTTCAGGCTCGCCGTCTGGCCAACGCGCCGAAGGTGAAACTGCTCTTTTCCCCTTGATCTCGCACGCTCGTCTTGATTGGTGGCTTTTGTTCGTGACGCCGTATAAAAAGCTCTGATAGCGCTTAATGTCCCTCGTAGCCATTTCCTCCCCCGCCTTCTCGCGGCAGACACCACGCGTGTAGTGCGATTCATGGTCACTCGGTTTTCCTCCCTAAACGACCCGGTTGCGCCCGCTTAGGAATCATTATCCTGGCATATGTTAAACATGTGTAGGCCGCGTAGAAGCGCAGGTGATGCGGTCGGGCGTGTCGTGGCGCGTGTGGACGGACGCCAGTCGGATTTGGCAGACTTCAGCACTTCATCGATAGCGAGACCGGTACGGAGCGTGGCGCATGGCACCGTCGGGGTACCGGCGGCTTGGGCAGCTACGGAGCGTGGCGCATGGCACCGTCGAGTGCCGGCGGCTTGGGCAGCTCGTGGCTTGTCATGTGCAGCACTCAGGCCGGCGTCAGGGCTCGAATGAATTCAAATGCGCACAAGTGAGATGGGGCGGAAACCGGCGTGTAAAGTCATTGCGTGGCTCTCAAATCGAGGGATGCATGCGTGTCGCACTGCACTACTCACACACACACACCGCCTCACAGTTTGATGGCCTCGCGCGGCTTGCGCGCTAGCTTCGGCACCAGCCGACCTTCCGGCGGGCCAGAGGCCTCCACACCGCCTTCTCGCAGTGCGGTGATACAGAACCCGGCGAGCCGCACCTTTACACGCCGGTGCCGGCAGGATCAGCCTGTCAGGCCGCGGCCTCTCCCAGATCCCCCAGCATTCGTCGGTGCTCTATTTGGGCGTGTTCCCGCCCGTGGGCGGACTTTGGGTGGGGTCATTGTCTTGTCTTGGATTAGGGCGCATAGCCTCCTGGGCTCAAGCTTCCGGTGGGTGGGGTCAGGGGTGAAGCGGCGCGCCAGGAGAATCGCACCGCGCCGGGAAAGCCGCCCAAGCCACCGCCGGAAGTGGGAAGCGCTGCCGGGCGCACGAGGGGCCTCGCTCTCCGCCGAGGTGTAGAAAGTGGGCGTCGCGGAATGGCGGTGCAGTTTTCACCCGGGCGGCCGTGCTGTTCTCTTTTCAGCGGGACACGGTATGAGGAGTGGCCACTGTTGATCAACAGGGACAGCAACGGTCTGCAGACTGAGCTGGCCTGATTGCCTTTCTGCTCCGTGGCAGCTGCTGCAGGGTCCGTGTGCACATCTTTCTCGCGGTTGTCATATGAAAGCCGCCTGAGGCAAACTTCGAATTTCGCTTACGGTGTGTAATTACATGGCTGGGGGTTTCCACTCTTCAGACTTGGCGAGTGGTTGTAACGTTATAAAAACGCCCGCAAAACCTGCTGCAAACACTACGCCACTTAACAATGTTCTACTTTAGAGGAAGTAAGCTCATTGTAGTCCAAAACTGGTATGCTTCGGGGTGATCAGAATGGCCCGCAGACGCGCTGAACCATCACTAATTGTTGTGAAGGGGAAGTGTCCAATGTATCTCTCTTTTGTCTGTCGTGTTTTGCCCATTAGAAATCCAACTAACAAGGAAGCTACGGTGCCAGGGTATGCCATTCACTTAAGATGCATGGTAGGCAGTTGCAGGGGTGTAGTTTTTTAACAAAATTGTTTGGGGGAAGGGGCGAGCAGAGAAAACCAGCCAATATTGCCCACAAAACACTGGAAAATGGTTTCCTCCGAGTTTTGCCCTGTTGTTCTCTGAAAATGGAAAGTGAGAGGGGCCGGAAACCCTCCCCAACTGAATATGAAAGTACACCCCTGGCCAATTACATGCTTAGCAGGTCACAGTCATTTCACGCCTCACGCTCGGCATCCTTGCTGTGCTTCCGACAGCGAGGATGCCAAGGAGAAACCCAGCCCAATGTCAAGCTACAGAGAGAGTTTGTCTTTGCAACCGCCCGGCCAGCCCGCGGAAAAGCGACAATCAAATGTCAGTCGCCGGCGTTTCCTCCCCTTCCCCAGCTGTTACCCACCCCCACCTCAGCCAGAAACGCGGCCGGATCTGTCGCATCAGCGGACGATGGCGCCGGGTGCGCCGCGTCATCGCACGATGACGCCCGACAGCAGCGATGGCGGCGGCGGCGACCAGCCGGTCCGTGTTTATTATTATTTCGACGGCGCCGGCGCTCATCAGAGGCTGACCCGTTTCCGCCCTCTCGGCTGTCCGCCGCGCGAAGCGCTGCCAGCGGCACACCTGGAGCTGCCAGATCCGTGCGTGCTGGGGCTGCCAGAGGCGTGCCTCCCAGCTCGGACCAATTGGCAGCACGTCGCAGGCGCTGCCAGCCCCCGCCGGGACGGGGGTGGGTCCTGACAGAGGAGACCGTTCCTGGAACAGACGAGCGACGGCGTCTGACGCCGCTGTCCCGGAGCAGACAATCAGGCGCTGCAGTGGCGCGGCCGCGCCGCACGCCCGTCCGGCCCACCGCGCCGTTTTTGCCGGACGGCGGCGTTAACAGGCCCGTCAAGCGAGCATGTCCTGCCGCGTCCCGGTTTGGTGGCGGACGCGGCTATCCGACGCGCCTGCGCGCGTCGGGATCGACGCGGCGCCTCTTCCTGCTCAGGGCGGCGGGTGCGAGGGAAGCGGACGATGACGTCAGGTCTGGCCGGCCCCGTTCCAGCTGTGGCGGTCGCAGCTCAGGTGTCGCCCGGCGGTGTCAGTGACGGCGCCGGGGCGTTCGCGCCCGGCGGCGGCACGCGCCGGCCGGCGCCGGCTCCTCACCTCGCTGGCCGGACCCGGTCGGTCGCCCCGATCGCGTCGATAGTTGGTCCGGGAACAAGCCCGACTCCGCCGCGGCCTTGGCCGTCCATATTCGGCGCCGGTGAGGCCCCGTCGGGGGTACGCGCGGCCCACCTGGCTGTCATGGTAGTACACCGTCCACGCGCCGGCCCGGCACCGGTCCGCCCACGCCACGGACGCCAGATAATCGCGCAGGGCCGTGGCGCTCACGCCGTCTCGCAGATCAGACGGGCCTGGCCTCCATCCGACGTCTGAACCGCTCAAAAGGCGGCCCGGTGAGGCCAATGTTCGCCGATGCTCAGGGTCGCCCACGCGTGTTCTTCCTTGCCCGCTCACCTAGGGTGGCAGCGGG